TTTTTTTGCTATCTATACCTCGGGGGGGGGGGCAAGCACATGTTCGCGAATTTTCTCAAAATTTTCTGGCTTAACTTCAGCACTTGAAATTCAAGAAATATAAATAAAATACCACAGGATCCCTATAACACAAGAAAACAACTCCCGAACGACCCCCCATATGTCACAGAACGCTATAACAAAACCAGAACGACAGATCACTCACCATCAGTCCTCGCTAGCTACTCCGCCATCTTAGCCCCCGCCTGTGTGTTTTCATCCTGCCACAGAGGGCGCACCTCGTAAAACCACTTATGCAAATTAATGTAAAAATAAATAATAAGAATTCATGACAACCACCGTATAGTGTTTGTTACTGTCATAACATGAATGAAATGGCGATTGACAATGTCAATTTTGTAGGATGGCAAGAGTGCGCTAGAAGTGTCAAGTGTAGTGAGCAGGCTATAAATAACTACATGAAGCGTTATGCAAAACAGCATACTTGTGAAGAACATGCAAGACGGCACAATGGTGGTTCTCTTACTTCGTGTACTTCGCAGTATTGGTGGATGGTGCAAACATGCTTAGAAGGTACTACATTTCAGTAATTGCTACAATACCATGTACCGAATGTAGCAATTAGGGTATTCGAAAGATATCTGGGACAAAAATTGTTTGCTTAACAGCCTTAATTTGGCTGTGATCGAATTTCCAGCATGTTTCTTGGGGCATCAACAAGTCCGTCGAATCGCACGCGAAACTGACGCCTTTAATACTCATTTCTCAAGTCGTCATGTCCTTTTCTTTCTAAATTTATACATGATATATGAGATTTTATAGCGTCCTTTACTTGTCACTGCGTTTAAGCGAACATATAACATATATGCATATATGTTCAGGACTTAGAGATAATTATGGTTTTAATCACAAAGGACAATAACCCCGTTTCAAATAGATTTAACTAATAGTGGTGATAGGTATATATAATTACTTGTCAATGACGTATAGTTTTTCAAATATGCAGAGAACAAGTGTGAAGGAAATGGTGGTAAATGTATAGAACCTGATGAGTGTTGCAGAGGAACAGGTATTTCCAATCGACCTGGATTGCAATTCTGCACTGAAGGAAAAAAATGCTGTACCCAGAAAGGTAAATACAACATAACAGAAGAAGCGGATGGGAGACATTCAATGGAATTATATAAAAAAAATACAAAATATTATTTGTATCAATTATCTGGCGAACGACAATAGTATTTCGATATCAAATTAGGAATTACCTAAGTATAACAACTAGTATTTTATTTCGACCAGAGTGTTCAACGGCACTATGAATTTTGAACAGGTTTGAGATTCTGGTCACAATACTTGAAAATCAGTTCATGTAGCATTCATCAGTTAAGGATGACAAGAATATTCATTTAGGTTAAAACTCACTGTTTTTATTTGTTTAATTGTTATTATTCTGTGAAAATTGAATTCGGACTCGAAAACGGGTCGAAGATTTTATTTATTTATTTCATTCGTTCACTTGGTTACTATGCACAAATTATTATTATTATTATTATTATTATTATTATTATTATTATTATTATTATTATTATTATTACTTATTATTCTTCTTATTATTATTATTATTATTATTATTATTATTATTATTATTATTATTATTATTATTATTATGTATTTAAATTACCAACGATACTAAGTCATCGAAATACCCATCAGGAACAAATGTCTGCTTTGGTTGAAATTTTTTGCAGAAATGATACAAACCCTTGAATCTCGGGATATCGTGACACATTCACCAACCGACGTAGGTATTCCGACTCAAAAAGTCAAAGAGGTGCACTGAAGTCGCCGACCTGACCACAAACTTCCACCAAACGGCGAAATATTGATTTTTTGATTACAAACATTCAAAACGAAAACAAACTTTCCACCCTGTCAACTCTAAACTTTTCGCTCATTATGTGGTATTTTCAAGCGAAATATTGAACAGGCAGGTTTTGTGAGACTCGATTAACGATCTATGGCGTCGTCTGAGGTTGCGTTTACTTCCGGTAAATTATGCAAATAAGGACGTTTGAATGACGTGTATACACAATTTACTCATTAAAAATTTAACAAACGCGATGCGTTAAATTTCGGAGCGCAAAATAATCGTATAAAAAATAATTATTTATTATTTATAATAATTATTTGTAGGAGATGGTTTGTGCACGGATTGTAGTGGGGAATGCATACCAGATTGCTTAGACTGTGATTTGGGTGAATTTATCAGTGGTCTGTGTCCTGGTGATCATTACAAATGTTGCAGGCGTAACCTGGCAAGTGAGTGGTATTAACAATTTTATTATCAATAGCTTCGACATAGTTTGACGTGAAAGTAAAAAACAGAGAAGGAAAAAGTGGAACAGAGAGCATTTGAGAAAGAGAGGGAAGGGGAGAGAGTCAGTCTGTCAGTAGAGGAGTGAGAGTTGGAATGGATGAATGGATGGATGAAGAAATAAATAAATATAATGGTTATTGAAATTAAGTTGAGGTGTAAATAACACCCACTGAATAAACTTACATTTAGTTCATGCTGAAAAATTATATACTTAATAATGACGAAGATAAGCGTTCAACCGTATATAGATGATACACGTTAACCTTTAACCTAATTAGAAGTACACTCATAGTAACTGTTGACATGTTTACTTTGATTTGACATAGTATTATTATTATTTATTCGGTGTTAGTTGGGCGTACAAATCAAATTAGAATGTTACATCTTCGAGTTTCATCATAATTATCGGTTTGTAATTTTTCATATAAACATTCACAATATATGTCTAATAATGTACACTATAACAACTTTCATCAATATTAGATGGCGAACGATGTCATCGACGTGGAGGAAAATGTATGCAAGATACACAAGCCATTACATGTGATGGCACGTATGGTGGTACATACACGCCTTTGTTGTGCCCTGGCACCGAAACGTGTTGCATACCAAGTAAATTATTATTCTTGTTTAATTTCATACAGCATTACTATAATTTTACTACAAATTAGAAAATTAATTTATTGATGACTAGTTTGTTTTTAAGTTGCTGTCTTTTATTGTGTAGTTTTCAAATCCCCAAATAAATAAAAAGTGATATTTTTGCTGCAAAAGCAAATAACGATATATTACTATTTTGTAGACGGAGGCGCAAACTGTGAAGCTAAAGGTGGAATTTGTACCAATAGTAAATTCAAATGTAATACACTTCATGGAGCAGACTGGCAATATGATAATGACAATACTCTTTGTCCCGCACCAAATGCACCCTTTAATCAAAGATGTTGTGTTCCAGTAGGTAAGTTACCTCACTAGTGGCTGCCTCTTCAATAGGCCGTGCATAGATATTATAAATGATCGTAAATTATACGTATTTATCAACACAGGGGACACAATGTGCATCGAGGCAGGTGGTGTCTGTGAGGATTCGAGTATGAAAGAGTGTTGTTGTGAGCAAGACAAGAAGGAATTCAAGCTTGGTATGTGTGCTCTCGGCAATGACCCAACATGCGAAAGGAAGTGTTGCCTGAGTGAGTAAAATATATCATAACTATAAGTACACATTTACACGTGGACTCACCAAACTGTGTGTAATATATATATATACCCACTAAAACAACGACTGGACAGACACAGTACAAATATTACCATTAGGTGCCATACGTTTTAATGTGGAGGGTGGTTCATAAAGCCATAAACTCACCCGTATTTAAGTAATTATGCATTCAAATGGGTGAAAAGAGTTGTTGTTGAATCATATGATGAAGCGGTGGCTGATATCGGGATGTGGAAATTATCACTGATTCTAGAATGGATCTGGCTGTTTTTGTTGTCTTATCATCGCTTGCTCATGTCGAACGTATTTCAGCGCAAGGGGACTGATACTTATGGTACGTTTGTTTTGCGTGCGGTCTGAATGATCACATCTTACAAACTAGTAATAGAAACGACAAGAGAGCTCAGGGTAAACAGCGCGTTAACAATGACGGGAACAATTGTACCATTGTTGATTGCACGTGTGCGACCACTGATAATGCACGTCTTACAACTAGCGGTTTATTATTATAGCAAGCCTGTGAAAATACCGAAGACAAGGGGTCAACGCGTTAGTCACTCATGAAGGCAAACCACATCGGTCATGGCGTATGCTACTACTGTATCACTTGTGATTAGAATAAACTGACAAACTATTTCACCCAACTTCTAAAAGACATGTTCCGGTTGGACCGGTTCCCCTTGTTCGTGAGAATGATGATAATACTCCATATGACAGATGTGTTGGGAGCTTGGCTTAGAACATGATTGGAACCATTGTAAAAGTTCGTATAAAAACATAGAGAGCAATAATGGCGTTGATAGTAAAACATTGTAGTTAAACATGTCTTACCTTTCTTTTGCTTCTTTCAATATTTGCAGTTGTAATGACGCGTCAAAGAGCTTCCAAATCTTCGCATCCACTGAAAACCCACTATTCCCTCTCAAATATCGGCCTTTCGACATTGATAAATGAAAATCCGAGTTCAAAATCAAATCGTTTGATTTTTTCGTTTCGTTCACAATACGCCTGAACTCGCAGTGAACAGAAAATCACCAATTTTACATTTGATCCGTTAATGATTGGAGTGGCAGTTTGAACAACGAACCCAATAAACTGTAAGCTACAATTATGACAATTATTGTATAATGTTTATGTGCTTAAGTTAACGGTGCATGGGTGGGATCCTTTCTAACTTATGATCCTCTCACAGACCATTTGCTTAGTTATTTAGTTCTATGAAGAGAAAATAATGGTGTGTTATCTAAACTTAAATACAGATTTCTAGACTTTCGCCTCCCCCTTCAGGTCTGGTGGGTCGTATGTATGATTCAAATAAAGTGACTCACTCAACATATTGTATTGTACAAACATGTAGCACAAGGAGAATGCAATGAAATCTAATCTAAAAAATGTGTAAGATTTAGAAGACTTAGTACGACGCATGCGTGGTGCGGCCATTCGTGTTGTTTATTTTGATCAACTGAATACCATCTTGTCACTTAACCTCAACATTCATTTGTATACTAAATGTTAGATTTGAAAACTGTATTACGTAGGTATTACCATTGTACATGGTGCATTATAGAAAATGAAGAAACGGTCAAAATGTTTATATAAACAACAATGACACTTTAGGTGGCATTATTTTAACTCAAAGATAGGTATTTGTGGGTTATGTTGCATACTATGTTTCACCATCTGTGATTTCCATTCCATGACATTGTTAATAATGACTAATTTTAATCACATTTTCTGTATGTTTTCCACAACTATATTATTTTTATTCAGATACTGGAGTTGCCTGTGGCGACCCTCATTACACAACATTAGATGGCAGAAAATTTAGTTATCAAGGAACATGTTCGTATGTTCTGATGCAAGACTGTGTCAACGTCCCACCCATGTTTAGTGTAGAAGCTGCCAGCGTCCCCGGTGTACATAAAGGAAAAATCGTGACAAGGATTTCTTCCGTAAAATTGAGACTTGGCAATAATATTATCGATCTTGTCAAAGACAGAGTGACTTTGGTGAGAGTAATTTATGTTTTATGTTAAATATTTAATGCACCTGATCTAAAAGGAGTTTAGACTTAGTGTAACTTTTTTGTGTACTTGATAAACACATACTTGGCTGAGGTGTCCACTTTTCAATAACTGGTGGCAGCAAATGTTTAGAATCCATGTCATTCTCGAGCAACATATGTAATACCTTAATGAATCTGAGTGCAGCGTTGTATGTAACACTGGTTTGATTCATCAAAAAACAACACAAGTTGATACAAATGCTGTTATTATCAGTGTCGTTATGCTATGGTATTTACTAACCCTACTAAACCCAGACAATTCCAACATTCACACATCACACCTGACATATCCAGTAGAAAGTGTTACCACTGCGAACAAATTAAGAATTCCAAGTGTTTATCATCACCAACAAGGAAACGATGTGTCTAGGTTTCCTATAAAAATATGTCATAAGTGCATACATAGAGATCTTGCCCGGCCACATCACTCCATATTCTATTCAAGTGACAAGCATGAGTCTTGTTGTTTCGGGGATTAAGGTGCATGAATCTATGATCTCCTTGCACTCTGGTAGTGTTTAGACTGTAATGTTGAATAAAATCTACATGGGCCGCAATATTGTTTAAATTTCGATTTTTGGTATTGGTACTCTATCTAAGCGAGATCCGACTACCAGTGACACTTCCACCCTGTATTAACTTTAAGATAATTCGTTCGACGGTCAAGGTATCCAGCCAATATCCCCACACACTGCTCTACAGTGTCTGTTCTACTAGGCCGATATTTCTTGCGAATTCCTTCCTCGGTCAACTTGTGTGCTCAGAACTGTGCCTGCAATGTCTAGATTGTTTCGTACATTTCAAACATTGGAAAAAAATTCATCAATGTCTTCCCCATTTTATCTTGCAATCATTCAACTCACTCTACATAAACTAGCAATATAGTTTGTTAAACAGACATTAAACAGATATAGGTTACAATGGACTGCTAAATTGTGACATGGTCTGTGCATTACCATTCCAACAATTAAATATGTGTTGATAGATTATCATAAACACTGTGAAGTATTTAATACATTGATGTATGGACTCGAGAGGTTAAAATCACAATTATTTACTAGACAAATAAGTAAACACCATTGTTTCTCTATACTGTTAACTTTTCAATATAACTTCAATATATAGTTTATTGTATTACAATGTTTGGTGATTTTTTAACAGATCAACGGCGTTAAACTACGATCAAAACGATCTACTGTTGATTCATATAATACTACAATCGAAAATGATGGGCACAATGTGAAACTGAACATGGAAGGATTCTTCACCTTGATGTGGAATGGACAACATAGAGTGGAAATAATCCCAGGCAAAAACATAAAAGGAAAAGTATGTGGATTACTTGGAAACAATGACGATGACCCAAGTAATGACTTTCATACGTCACTTGGCATCCTTACTAAAAATGTACATCAATTTGCAGAGAGCTGGAAAGTACCTTATAGGTATGTTTGTTTCACTTAAATAATACACGAACGATCATAAGAAACCTGTGGTTTAGCTGTATTGCCGGCAAAATTGAATAACAATAGCTAACAATCAAATCTGAAGATACAATTTTTCTTTATTTGAGGCGTGCAGACAACATCTCACCGAAGATCAAAGTTGTGGAAAATAGATAAGAAAGAAAGGACCTAACGGTCATAAAGGAAACAACTCAAGAGTGTGGTGTACATGTGTGCAGTTCAGACCATTCTTGCCAGCTTATATAATTTGGACGCAGTTAAATTACGAATACCGTGTCTGTTGCAATTATGATATTTTCATACTACTTTACATGACAATAGCTTCAAATAAAAGTTGCCGACAATACAACTTTAATATTATACGCATGGCATTTGTTATGAGATATAATGTGGAGTTAATAAATAATATAACTATTTCTTCATGCTGTTAGACCAATAGTACAGACATGTTGCGGTCGTTTCTTCTCATTCTCTCTAGTACAGGCTTAGCATGTGTATTATTTTTCTACAAATTGATCGGAATGTTTTTGCAAATAAAAGTTTCCACCAAAACACAAATTCTGGAAACATTGATTTCGTAATAACTACTGATGTTATTGTTTATTTACTATATTCCAGCTGCTGAGAACGTAACCGGTTAAGTCTGAACAGAAGATTCAACAATAAACAATTAAGCATGCACATTTTATTGGATCATTGTACCAAATCGATATGCAAGTTACGTGCATTTGGGACTTGGTTAATTTTTTTCAAGGGATTAAGGGATTATAGGGATATACTAAAAGGAATATTATAGCGAACATTATTTATAACTTGCAATTTAATGTAAATTGATTACTACTGCTCGGATAAATACTCGGATTGAAGTCGCAAATTATATGCATTAAGTATGCATCATATATCAGTCAGATTTAAGCATTGTTTTATGAATATGTTTTACAAGAAGATGAAGACAAGAATTGATAATATACTTTGTAATATGGGCAAATTTATCATTAAATAATTCATCATGGGAAAAAGAACGTGTTGTTAATAGTTATGCGAAATGCTGAAAGGGGAGAGTGTAAAGTCATTGCATAAGCTGACTGTGTGAATAGAGTTTAGAGAGGTCAGAACCTGTGTTTGATCCCAACTTGCAATGTAACGATTCCAGGCGAATCACAAACTGAATACATTAAAACATACATTGCAGTGGAATGTAATTATTACGATATATTATTGATATTGTGAGAAATTGTAAGCAAAATGAATTTGAAGGCGAACTTCAAGATAAAACTAGAAAGCGGGCGGACCAGAATCTTTGCGTAGTATTACACTATAGAATAAAGCCCCTCGAGTTTATACGAAAACTCTTTTTTTTCAACATTTTTTTGTAGGAGGATTTTATAGCCAGAAAAATACGAGGGATTTATCTCGCTAAAATAACACAGCCCAAAACCAAAAACAATGTTTGAACACCTTTGTATATATTGTTACACAATCAGTGAATGCAGTACATGTATGCCTAAGTGTTGGCCTTTATTGTTCCTAAACAATTTGCATACTGTAATTGTGGCAGGTGAACACCATACGCAAAATTTGCCCATATGACCAATTTGAAAATGTTTTGATATCACAATCTGATAGAATTACGCTGGTTAGATGTAAATGTATTTCCAATGTTCCTCATACTATTAACCTGAAAGGTAATGCAGAATTATAGAAAAATGTAGACAAACCTGTTGTTACATTGCACAATGATTTATCCAATTTGGTCGAGTCTATTGCCATTTGCCTACATCTATATATACCAACGCGTTGATTCATGAATGATCATCCCCGTGTGCAAATCTTAAATTTAAGGTCATGTTAGATTAAGACCAGTAAAGACGAAAAACAAATTTGTTTGCATATATGCTTAAACCGGATCTAGATATAGGTGGGCCATATTATTCAGAAGGTATCTAAGATGTTTAAGGTCTCTGAATTGCAACATAATTCACTGAGAAGGAATTATTGTTCATGGTTTGTGTTTTTACATTTGAGAAAAATTGCTAGAATATAACTTGTTCCACGGGTATGCGATGCAGCAGAGGGTCAATGGATCTGTAAATTACGTTTTAAAATGGGCAAGGTGTTCCTTTTTGGCATTTTAAATGTCAAGGCGTTCTTTTTGCTGGCATCAAAGCTGTGTTGATTTACGTGTAATTTGTTATATGTGGCAATGGTTTCTGGTGCTGCTGCACATAAATATTTAAATCATTTAAGAGGTGAAATGCTTCAGCTGTTGGAGTATATTATCTTTGTGTTATTCGCCTATTAGAAAAACATACTACAAATAAATAAATGTGGTAATGTATGACTGAAAGAAAGATTAGGGTAATAAGATACAGTTTTTCTGAGTTCACACAGAGAATTATAGATGGTGCAAAATATTAAGATGGCAACGTCTCTTCCCAATTTGCGTTTCATTTCACTATTTGAGTCAAATTGTCAAAGTTATCTGAGTTATCAAAGCTGCATAGAAGCGTTGTGCCTGATCAAATATTCTGCGATTATTTGGTTGAACAACTTTTGTACTAAGAACAAATATAATTTGTGTTTTCCCCCCGCAATCACCTTATTTATTTGGTTTTACACTGCTCATACATCAAATTTATTTTTATTATGAGTTCATCAAATAAGAACAATTTAAACATTTTTTGTACATGGAAACATGGTAGAATTAAAAGAAATTGTGTTTGCTCTTTGGGCCTTTAGTATTAAACAAATCATTTACAGCCGCTGTGGCATGTGCTTTGTTGCATCATGCTCATGGTAGGTAGAGGCAAATTGAAGTTCTACATGAGTAAGATTTACAGATCACACGGAATGCTAAAACCAGTTAATGACATTCATGAACGTTACTTTCTTTCCTTGATGAGACTTTTAAGAGCCTTGGTTTTTGTGACCGTGCTCTCAGTTCTCTTATAAATTACTATAATGCCATTATGTTGGGAAGATTGTCACACAGCCCTATCACATGACTCAACATTGTTTTAGCAAAATGCATTATATATATATATATATATATATATATATATATATATCCTTTCAAACATGCAATTCACTAGCACAAGTCTAACACAAAAGGGTAATAATTAGAATTTCGTGAATTTCCGTGTTGGAATTTCAAGTTGATTCAACATGCGTTCAATGACGATATTGATTATTGATTATAATGTTTCATTGTGAATTCCGGTCGTGTGTTTATTTCCGTAACTCAAGGTAGATTTTTCATATGCATATTAGTCTGAGACACAGAATCTTTTGTATGCAGCCTTTTTTTGTAATCAGCACATTTTTTATTTGTATATCAAAGTCAACCACATTTTGGGTCGTGCAAACTTCTCAGTGTCATACATTTTTCATTTCATACATTGTCAAGAACTTTTTACCCATGCCAGCTCATTTTAATTCCAACCAACCATAGTACTGTTAATCTTAAAGTCACAGGTATTGATGCTGGTTTTAAAAACATTTACCACCATAAAATTAAGGAGGCAGTTTGGATGAAAAAATTAGGCACTATTTCCCCCAAACGGACTGAATAGAAGAGAAGAACATAATTTGTAATTGTTTATTTGACTATTGAGGGCGCCCTATTCATGCTTTCACACCCCTTGTTCTCAATTATTCATGATCTATTGTTATTCAGTTTCACACTACTTTCTCAGTACTTTGCAGACATCCTTTGTACGCACTAGTAGCAGATAATTTTCTTAGTTTTTACTACTTTACCTCGTTTTATCCATATTACATTGGCTAGAAAGTTCTTGATCTATTTGCTTTTACCACACACCTAGAGTGTATTTATGCATTGTGTCCTATATTATACAGCAACACTGATATTTGTTTTTTATCCATTTTAGTTTGTTGTTTGATAAAGGAGGTTTTACATCTCCCCGAAACGTCATGAAATAAACCACTGTTTGAAGTCAGAAACGTTTTGAGCTTCGTGTGTTATATACAACTACTTTTATCTCTCATATTTGACGACCTCTATAGTATCAGTGAATTTCATGGATCCGTCAACCCGACTTTTGATGACACAGTTCAAGGAATTCAACTTCACTTTTTTACCATGACACTGTAACTTTGCAATATTGCTTGAGGTATCCGCTTCCTACAATATTAGAAAAAGCGAAAAAAAATACATGGTATTTCCAAGATGGCGGATGGTTCGAAGTTCATAGCGAGAAAGTTCCAATATTTTTCATAATTTTGCTTAGACTTAGACATTCAACACCAAGCAGTTGGAACGGGAAATATAGTATTGAATATTGAGTATAACATTGAAATTATTACAATGATGATGCAAAGTATACACTTTCACAGTCTAAGGGTTAGTTAATATAAACCATGACCCTGCCCACCTCGGGGTATGTGGGGACAACACAACACTGACGTTTCAATTTGCATGTGCCCCACCACCACTATCAAAAAAGTGCCTTATACCACCATCTCCGATCCCATTTCCGTAAGCAAAATAAAAAAAAACACTCGTCAAAGAATGTAATATTATATATTGTTTTCATTGATCCATATTAATATAGCAAACAAAATTGCGTGCATTCATGAAGAAATTGTTATATTTTAAATTGAAAGTTCGTTATTTTCTACTGATTTGCAGGATTCTGTTTAACCTGATTTTCAACTTGTCTCTTCATTTTGTTTCAAGTCAAATCCAGGATGACTATGGGTCCAATGGCTTATTCAGCGCGCTCATAATCAGAGGTCACTTGAACGAGCCAAATTCATAGAGAGGCATCTACTTTATACTTTGATCTTCTTGGTTAATTGTATTAAAACCCATATCTACGTTACGACGTATAGTATATTGAACTCAATGTGATATAATTTCTTCGAATATTTTGGCATTTTGTATAATTATATAGTAGGTAACACCGAAAATCACATCACCCACTCACCGACCTTTGCACTTTTTATGTACTAACTGCACTATAAATCTAAGTGATTTAAAATACAACACATTCAACTATGCATGATCTACAGATCTATTCATGAACAGGTTCACTGTGGTAAACAACAAAATAATTGTGCATATGTGCCATGCTTTTGACAATTAGGGTGTTAAAAGCTAGGCAGCTGTAACTAGTTCGTTTTAGTATAGTTAACAACATGATAACATGTATAACACACGTGTAATTCACACCATTCGTAAACGAAAAGTCACTCCGCAACACACAAACGAATGTAGCAGCTATTAAAATCCCATATGGCGAATTTATCAATATATATATATATATATATATTATATAGGGGTGTCACAACTTTACTGAATATATTCTACAAATGTATATTCACTGTGCAATATTGTTTATAGTGATGATAGTATCTATATATACATGTTTTATTTTTTTGTAGTATGATTTTTAGATTAAAATTAGTAGAAGCAAATTCATTGATTTAAAAGCAATATTTTTGTTTCATGTATTCATCACTCTCTAGAGAAATGGTTAATAATGATTCAACATCTGTGCTGCTGCTTATTTACCACGTGAATGCACCATATGTCTAAATAGCAGGCAACGTTCCCATATTAACATTTTAAACGGGGTACTAGAGACTGACGAGTCAGAACTCTGGCATACAAACAGGTAACTGGATGTTTCTTACTTTAAATTTATAAACTATTTTAATTCGATGCTATACTAAGGCAATATCGCACTGATTTATTTCGACTGCTGATGTCGAATTCATCATTATATATATTATATTCGGCAATTATCAATTCATGAATAGATGTGTCGCTAATGTAACAATTTTGCTGACGCCCAAATGTTGATGTGGCAGCTAGCACATTTGTTGGGATAAAACTTGAAATCCCTGTCCGTTTTCACACATGTACTGCATACAAAGCCGTCTACATTTGTCCATTACAATTAACGATAAAGCGTTTAAATGGTAAAGCTCACATGAGCAAGTTTGACATAACTGATGCTTTCAACCAAATAC